TAGCCTTGCAAATGCAGTGATCAACATGTGTGTGTTTCTTTTAAGGGAAATGTGCTCAACTGTGTGTGGGCAATGACACTTGTGCCTGCCTCAAAGGCTACAAACTCAAACCAGATGGAAAGAGCTGTGAGGGTGAGCAGTACTCTTCCTCATCTTTAACTTACATTTAATAGTTTTGTTGGTAACACTTTCTATGAAGGTCATCGCTATAATGACTTATGCATATATTTATAACACGATGTCCATAAGACATTAAAACAGTTGTTATAATCACTTACAAACATGCATTAGGCGCTATAGCGAAGTTCATAACGTATTGACCTTTTGATTTAATGTTTTATAACGAATATTAATACCAGTTTATATCAATGTGTGGCAAGAATCTCTGACCATGTTCCATAACACATTATAACCACCGACTCTGCCTCGTTATGGATACACCATTTACAATAAGTGAATTAAAATGGAATAATAGCTTATAGTAATGTTTAAAGTTATATAGCATGCATTTATTTGCTTTAAGTAAAGTGTTATATATATCTATCCCTGTATAATATATTACAGGTGGACATTATACCATATGAACTAATTATAAGACCTTATAACACGTAATTGTTTGCTTTAAGTGAAGTGACACACATTTTGCGCAGGAAAACAACTTTTATTTATGTTTCTTCACTTTATGAACAATCTGTATGAATTTTGAACATTTTGCAGTTTAGCACAAAAACACAACATAATTACATCAAGAAAAGTCATTGTCAGGGTGGTGAAAGATCGCTCAAGAGAAGACCTGTTGCAGACCAACATCATGTAAGAAGAGGCTCAGATGTTATCACAGATGAATGGCGAGCCTATGGACAGGCCCAACAGATGCATTGGACGATTAAAGACAACTACTTCACAAAACGTAGCCTATTAAAAGACGTAATTTAAATGGGAATTGGGAATACCGTTAGCTAGCGTTAACTGCCTTCACTTTTCCAGTAGTTGCGGAAACAACAGACTTAACGAACACACTGTGACCTACACTGCACATGTCTGCCTGACGGACAACTTACTAAGTAACTTATATATTTTCCTCCGATAACTTTCACCGTCACGTTCTGCTGCTCGCTCTCTCTCATTGATAATCAATTCAGAATCTTCCACGTCCGCATCACAAAGAAGTAACGTTATACTATACTGTACTATACTATAATGTTCACGGAACGCAAATGGCGGAACCTTCAGAATGTCTCGGGTTACGTATGTAACCCTTGTTCCCCGAGAAGGGGAACGAGACACTGCGTCGGTCCACCACACCTCACCCCGCCTGGAGTGCCTTGCTTCATAGAAAGGGCTAATGTGTCCTATGTGCCGGCGTGCTTATATACCCCCTCCGGTTACGCCGTCACACACTACCGTTCTAGTAACACCAATAGGATTGGAGTAGTTTCATTCATAGTTCAGCCCTGCCACGCCCAGGGGCGTTCCCATAGTGTCGTTACCGACGCAGTGTCTCGTTCCCCTTCTCGGGGAACAAGGGTTACATACGTAACCCGAGACGTTCCCCTTCGAGGGAACTCGAACTGCGTCGCTGACGACGCTATGGGAACAAGATACCCACTTAGGCCGCACCGAAACCCCGTCTGCCCCCAGCGTGCAGAACCTAACGGCACGACTAGGAGGAGAGCGCATGGGTGCAGAAGGTAGGTCCAGACTGTAAAACCGGATAAAAGTGTGAGGGGTGGCCCAGCCAGCCGCATCACACAAATCCTGGAGTGACGCCCCTGCGAGGAGGGCCCCAGAAGCCTCCATGCCTCGAGTAGAGGGCGCCCTTACGGCCATAGGTGAAGGCAAACTGCGCACCAGATAGGCCAGGGAAATAGTCCGAACAATCCATTTGCTGATTGTGTGTTTAGAATACTCAGTGCTCTGACAGGGCAGAGCAGATGAAGTCTCCCGTCCTCCGCCGTCACATGAGGTGGGGGATGAAACGCCTGCAGCACCGTGGACCCTGCCAGTCTGGCCGGAACCTTAGGGACATAACCTGGACAAGGGTGCAGGATGGCCCTGACCCTCCCCGGGGCAAACTCCAGGCATCGGGGAGACACCGAAAGTGCCTGGAGATCCCCCACCCTCCTCAGAGAGGTGATAGCGAGGAGAAAGGTCATCTTAAGGGTCAGGTGCTTGGCCTCAGCCGACTCCAGGGGTTCGAAGGAGGCCTCAGCCAGCGCTTCGAGAACCACTGCCAGGTCCCAGGTGGGAACCCTGGAACGAGTCACGGGTCTCATCCTCCGGGCTCCACGGAAGCCTCCCCAAGGGCCCATCACTCAGAGGGGCGTGGAATGCTGCAATGGCAGCCACATATACTTTGAGCGTGGACGGGGAGAGGCCAGCGGAGAAACGGTGCTGGAGGAACTCCAGTATCACAATTACCGAGCAGGTAACTGGGTCCACCGCCCGTTCTCTGCACCAGGTGGTGAACACATTCCACTTGATGCCGTACATCCTTCTCGTGGACGGGGCTCTGGAGCTGAGCATCGTTTCGACTGCTCCTGTCGTAAGACCCGCCTCTAAGAACTGTGCCCCCTCAGGGGCCAGACCCATAGCTGCCACAGGGTGGGGTGCGGGTGAAAGATCTGGCCCTTCGCCTGGGACAGCAGGTCTCTCCTCAGAGGGACCTGCCAGGGCGGGCCCTCGAGGAGCGATATTAAATCCAAGAACCATACTCGTGCCAGCCAAAACGGGGCTACTAGTAGTAGGCTGACGCCGTCCTGGCGGACCCGCTCCAGAACCCCCGGGAGCAGAGCGCCTGGGGGAAACACATACAGACGCGGCCTCGGCCGGCATGAGACACACATCCCATGTACCATGGCTTCCAGCCCTAGCGGGGCTGGGGGTGATAGGGAGAACCACAGGGGACAGTGTGCCGTCTCTCGGGACGCAAACAAGTCCACGTCTATGGGGCTGAACTCTTATAACGCATAAGGGGTGTACATCGCTCTGAGGGACAGCAGTCTCTCCTGGGACTACAGGAGGATCCGATGTGCCAGTTTGCATAATGGGCGTGAGCGCAGACCCCCATGGTGATTCAAATAGGCCACCACCGCCGTATTGTCGGTCCTGACAAGGAGGTGGCGACTGCGGAGAGTGGGCAGAAAACTCCTCAGAGCTCTGAAAACCGCCAACATTTCCAGGCAATTTATGTGCCAAGAGAAATTATGCTTCTCCCAGGAGCCTCTCGCGAAGCGGTCGTCCATGACCGCGCCCCATCTCGTGAGTGAGGCGTCTGTTGAAATAATTGTTCGGCGACAGATTGCTCCCAACACAGGACCTTGGGACAGGAACCGAGGCTTCCTCCATATGGACAGGGAACGAAGGCATCCGCTCGTAACCCGTATCTCTGGTCACTGAGGATAAAATGGACTCGATGCGTGCGGGAGACAGGTGGGCCCGCATCGTCGTTGAGTCCCACACCACCCCTAGGAACGCAGTCCGTTGGGCGGGTGTCAGCACGCTCTTCTTCGCGTTGAGCTGCAGTCCCAAACGCTGAAGGTGGGCGAGGACGACATCTCGATGCCGAACCGCTAACTCTCGAGAATGGGCCAGGACGAGCCAGTCGTCGATGTAGTTCAGTATGCGGATGCCCTGGAGCCTCAACGGAGCCAGAGCTGCATCCATGCATTTGGTGAACGTGTGGGGAGATAGTGCTAGGCCGAACGGAAGAACCCGATACCGGTAAGCCGTGCCCCCGAAGGCGAACCTCAGGAACTTCCTGTGAGAGGGACGGATGGAGATGTGGAAATAAGCGTCTTGCAGATCTATCGTGACAAACCAATCCTCGGATTGGATGTGACTGATGATGGCTGGGATGGTAAGCATCCTGAACCTGAATCTCCTCAGAGATTGGTTCAGGGACCGCAAATCCAAAATCGGACGCAATCCTCCGTCCTTCTTGGGGACCAGGAAGTATTGGCTGTAAAAGCCGGCTTCTCTGACTGGCAGGGAAATTAATTCTATGGCCCCTTTCTTCAGCAGAGAGCGGACTTCCTGTCCCAACACCTGGCTCTGTTCTGCGTGTACTGTAGTCCCGACCATCCCGCAGAATCTGGGGGGGTGAACCCGGAACTGCAGCCTGTAGCCATCTACTACTGTACAGAGGACCCACGGGGAAATGTTCGCGAGGCTTCGCCAAGCTTTCGCGAACTTCGCCAAGGGGACCAGCCCCTCGGGGCTGTTGGCCGGTGTCCCACGGGAATCCCCGGTGGCGCCCTGAAGCGGAGGACCGCCAGGGAAGGCTCGCCGGTGAACCACGGTTTGTGAGCCCAGTCGTGTTCCGGCTGCCGCCCCTTGGGGCGGACAGATCGGCGAGGGCCTGCCGGCGGCTAGCGCGTCCCGAGCGCTGAAGCGGTGGGAGAAACAACGCCTATTGCTGGAGCAACCATGAGAGAGGGGACCTCGATCGGCCTCTCTCAGGGGAAGGGGGGCAGGGAGGGGGAGGAGGCGGGGGGTGGTGGTGGGTCCCCCTACTCGAGGTCTCAGGACCTCTTCCCCCAGGCCCGCCGAGACTGAATGACGGTCCTCAGATCCGTCTTCCCGGGGGGCTGTGGGCGAGAGCGCCGTCTTGCGTCCCAGGTTGGTTGAGGGGGATCCCGCGAAGCGACGCTCTGCTTCTGGCTGTGGCGAGGTTGGGAGAGAGGTAGCTAGCCAGTGCCTCCTCCACTCGTGGCATCGCTCCGTAGCCGTGCTGTCTGATTCCCGTCACGTTGCTGTAGTCCAGCCGGGGGGACGTAGACAGCCGCGCAGAGAAGGGTTTATTCCATGATCTACACAACTCGTTGTGCAGATCCGGAAAAAATGGTAGGGGCCGACGCGGGGGTGGCGCTCGGTGTTGCAGAAACTGTGGCCAATCAATGTGCAGCTTGGCCACGGCCCGCGTCACCACTTCCAACAACTCCTCATATCCTGGCGAGGGCTGATGACATTCCGTTTCCTCTATGCTAAGCACATCTAGCTCCTCAGAGCCAGATCGTGTCAGCCTTTCCGGACTCGCCCCTTGAGTGGGAGAAACCGAGAAACGGGCTCCCGATCGGGGACGAGGGGAGGAGGATTCCGCGGACGAGGACCGGAAAAAGGCCTCAGCCTTTCCGGCACCCTCGGCAATCTCGCGTTGTGATCCCCAGGATCGGAGCCGCCGCGACGCCTCAGCGACCGCGGGGCCTGTGCCACGAGGGGAGCGCATCCGACCATCCTCTAGGAAGAACCATCAGGGGCAGGGCACCCTCAGGGGCAGGGCCTCGCAATGGTCGCAGGCAGCCCCCTCGAGAGCCGCCTGAGCATGCGACATCCCCAGGCATGAGACACACATCCCATGGGTATCACCTTCTGTGATGAAACGCTCACAAGGGAAGACACACTGTCGGAATCTCTTTGACATGATCTGCTGCTTCGTCTCGATGTCAGGTAAGAAAATGGAGCTTCCAAACATAGCCAGAGTGCCTGCTGAATAGAAAGAAGCTAATGTGTCCTATGTGCCGCCGTGCTTATATACGCCCTCCGGTTACGCCGTCACACACTACCGTTCTAGTAACACCAATAGGATTGGAGTAGTTTCATTCATAGTTCAGCCCTGCCACGCCCAGGGGCGTTCCCATAGTGTCGTCACCGACGCAGTTCGAGTTCCCTCGAAGGGGAACTGCGGAAGTGCAGCGCCCGGACATTCGGAGGTGTGCACATAACAGAGACCTGTGATCTCTGTTACTGGTCTGAGAACAGTGTTGTATTCGACGCGTTTCGCCACTGCTGAATGAATGACCATGCTACTAAAATTTCACACGGTCATCAATATGACTGCGACATTGATTTTCACCGGCACACCTTGTAGCAACACTCATCGCTGTTTTGGTTCCTGTGTGCAAAGCGAGTGTGTGTGCCAGCGTAAGAGAGCGAGCGAGCAGCAGAACGTGACGGTAATAGTTAGAGGAGGAAAATATTATATAAATATTTATATTTATATTATAAAATTACTAAGTAAGTTGTCGGTCAGGCAGACATGTGCAGTGTAGGTCACAGCGTTAGCTAAATTAGTAACGGAGTAATGTTAATTAGTTGCGTGTCATTACTACCTAACTTGTTGAGGAATGAGAACAGCAGGTTGAAGCTAAACTGGTGTCCTGTACACATACTGTACATCCTGATGATTAAGTTAAATTATATTTCAGTGTCCAGAGGAGTCTGACAACTGGTTGTTAAAGGAAGGACACTGGTGACCATGGAGGAGCTGAGGCTACTAAAGTAAATTAGGGATGTAAACTAGTCCTTTTAAGCAATTGAGGAGACATTTCTTTTGAATTTTAATGTGTAAACGAAATGCTTAGTAATTATCCAGAATTTACACACAAAAAAAAATGCTTCAAGATGGATCGCTGCCCTCTGAATTGTAATCGAATCGTGAGGTGCCACGAGATTCTCATTCCTACTGCCCAAACAGTATTCGCATTCAATTACTTTAAAATGTCTTTTAATAGGCTACGTTTTGTGAAGTGGTTGTCTTTAATCGTCCAATGCATCTGTTAGGGCCTGTCCATAGGCTCGCCATTCATCTGTGACAACATCTGAGCCTCTTCTTACATGATGTTGGTCTGCAACAGGTCTTCTCTTGAGCGATCTTTCACCACCCTGACAACGAGCTTTCTGGATGTAATTATGTTGTGTTTTTGTGCTAAACTGCAAAATGTTCAAAATTCATACAGATTGTTCATAAAGTGAAGAAACATAATTAAAAGTTGTTTTCCTGCGCAAAATGTGTGTCACTTCACTTAAAGCAAACAATTACGTGTTATAAGGTCTTATAATTAGTTCATATGGTATAATGTCCACCTGTAATATATTATACAGGGATAGATATATATAACACCTTACTTAAAGCAAACAAAGACATGCTATATAACTTTAAACATTACTATAAGCTATTATTCCATTTTATATCCCTAATTGTAAATGGTGACTAAAGTGTATTTATAACGAGGCAGAGTCGGTGGTTATAATGTGTTATGGAACATGGTCGAAGATTCTTGCCGCACATTGATATAAACTGGTATTAATATTCGTTATAAAATATTAAATCAGAAGGTCAGTACGTTATGAACTTCGCTATAGCGCCTAATGCATGTTTGTAAGTGATTATAACAACTGTTTTAATGTCTTATGGACGCATTATATCATGTTATAAATATATGCATAAGTCATTATAGCGATGACCTTCATAGAAAGTGTTACCGTTTTGTTTTATAAGTCACAGAGAAACATTATGCTTGTGAAAGTATTTTGATGCAAAATACTGTAATACTGTGTGTCAGAAATGTAAGCATATTAAGAGAATCTCTGCTTCCAAACTCTCTCAGATATCAACGAGTGTTTGCTGGGTGCCAGCAACTGTCGGGGAGGAGAGCGTTGTATCAACACAGTGGGCTCATTCCGTTGTCAGAGAGAGGTCAGCTGTGGGACTGGCTATGAACTCACTGACAACAACAATTGCAAAGGTAATTCAACAATTTGCCTCTGTTGCTCTGTATCTCTAACTTTTACATATTTTAGGTATTTAGGTATTTGTTCAATGGCAATTGTCCTGTGAATCTCTTTACCCAGATATTGATGAGTGTGAGACCGGTATCCACAACTGTGGTACAGAGTTTGAGTGTCAAAACACACAGGGGTCGTTCCGTTGTGTCCCTAAGGTCAAGTGTGGTGCCGGCTTTATCCAGGATGCCCTCGGCAGCTGCATTGGTAAGCAGCGTACTACAACAGCTTTTAACAACAGGTGATTTAGGCACGGGTAGTGCTACAATTTTTCGGTTGTTCAACCAGCTTTTAGATGGTGGTATACTCATTGGTCCAAATGGCTATTTGTGGGGTTGAGAGAATGGCTCCTCATGATTTTGGTGACCCCTGACCTTTTACCTGAATGAAAGTTGCTGAGAAAATCCTAATGAAGAGCACATGCTCATCAGTATATGACATCTTAATGTTTTTGGAGGCACCCTGACCTTTGCTCTTGGACCACTGTTTGGCCCAAATATTTATTTATACACAAGGAATAACACAATGAAACATATTTACTGAACACAATGATGCTCCCTAAAAGGATGGACCCTTTCCATTTCAGATACGTTGTGAACTTCCTAGTACCACACTCAGGCCAAAATACCATTTTCAAAATATAATTGATAGATTAACGTGAAATGTGGTGTGCACATTGATGGTCGCACTTCTTAGATTGTAATGACTTCATGGCCTGTAGAGCCACCTTTAGGCCAAAACTTATATTACACATTTTTAATATTAAGTAATATTGTAAATAAAGCAATATTTTCATAATTTAACAATATCATCTGTGTCTGTGTTTTCAGATATCAATGAATGTGTTACGCAGACAAGCCCATGCCACCGAGGGCAGCTCTGTATCAACACAGTTGGCTCCTACACCTGCCAGAGGAACTCTGTTAACTGTGGTCGAGGATACCACCTCAATGAAGATGGCACACGCTGTGTTGGTACAGCTGGAATAACTCACAATTCCTGGATAATAAAGCATCTTACAAACCTACCTGAGGTATGTATCATGGTGTTCTCTGTTGTTTGCATCCCCCCTCTGCAGATATTGATGAGTGTAAGGGCCCTGAAGTCGTCTGTGCAGGTCATGGTTGTATCAACATGCTGGGCTCTTACCGCTGTGAGTGTGAGACTGGCTACAACTTCAACAGCTTCAGTCGAGTTTGTGAGGGTAAGCAGTTGGTATATCTCGCTTAATGTTCTTACGTAAGTAGCTAAATCCAAATATATCCTCTGCATGGAAATATAATAAACATAAATATGTGCATCTACTAATACTGGTCAAAATGTGAAGAGAGAATTTTGTCATAATTTCAGCTTCTTACTGTGGCATATTTGGACTTTGTGTTTTAGATATTAATGAATGCAGGCACTACCCTGGTCGCCTGTGTGCCCATAAGTGTGAGAACTCTTTGGGATCCTACAAGTGTAGCTGCACCACTGGCTTCAAGCTAGCCGGTGATGGCAGGAATTGTGACGGTAAGAAAAATATCTAAATCAGTAGGATTGCAACTTTTTATACAGTATGTTTTGTGAAAACTGTAGGCTATGCTGTGCAAATTCCCAGTGACAGAAACAAAAGAAACTCCTGTTCAGTTCCGAGTTGGATTACCTTTCTGCTTTGATTACAGCTGACACATCTGTTCTACTACCTGCTGTGGCATAAAAAGCTATTATTGTTTGTTGGTTAATTGAAGAAATTCTAATATATTTATAAAATACAGCATATCAGACTTTGCCAAGAATAGTGCTGCAAGGTCCAAGATTTATTTCCATCGTTGTCCCACTTTTCAAACCAGGCAGCATTTTACCGTCATTTGGTGACACTGAAACTGGTAAAAACTGGTAAAAGTGACAATCAAAAATCATCTTTGGGAAAAAAAAACACCCACCAGGCACTTAAAATCATGCTTTTTTTCTGTTAGATTTCTGTTAAATTTCGTTACATTATTACATTACATAACTGTGTGTACAGTAACAGTGTGCATGCAACTGTTTGCATACACTGTGTGCACAATTATTAGGCAAGTAAATATTCTGAATTAATAATTATTTCTATGAACATTTTCCAACTCCAAACCATATAAACTTGAAGGCTCATTGGAGTTAATCATTTTCAGGTGATGTATGTATTTGTGTAATGAGGGAGAATGTGGCGAAAGTGAATGACTTATATTAAGGTGTGCATGATTATTAGGCAGCTTCATTTCTTCAGGTAAAATAGGCCAAACAAAAGATTTAACGGACACTGAAAATTTAAAAATTGTAAAATGCCTTTCAGATGGATGCAACACTAATAGGTCAACTTTTGAGGCGTTACTACTGGACAATCAAATATTCTGTTGCGAATAGTCAACTGGGGAGCAAAAAGCGCATGGAGTAGAAAAGGCGCAAATTACTGCAAAAGATTTAAATTAAATAGAATTAGAATTAAACGTAGAGTTAAATGTTGAGCTCCCAGGAACCAATCCTCCAGTGCCACCATATTCCACAAGTGCAACCTACCTGGAGTGTTCAGAAGTACAAGGTGCCAAGTGCTCAGAGACATGGCCAAGGTCAGGAAAGCAGAAAAAACGACCACCACTGAATAAGACTCACAGTCAGATTTTCAAAGGTTTTATTGGACAGATTAAATGAGAGTAACTCTTGATGGACCAGATGGATTGGCCCGTAGCTGGATCACTGATGGACACAGCACCACTTGGACTTAGGCTCCAGCAAAGTGGAGGCGGGGCACTGTTATGGGCTGCTATCATTAAGAATGAGATAGTTGGACCTTTTCGGGTTGAAGATGGACTGAAACTCAGTTCCCAAAGCTACTGCCAGCTACTTCTTCAAGCAACTGTACAGGAAGAAGCCACATTTTTCAAGAAGGCCATGATCTTTATGCAGGACAATGATCCATCACATGCATCCAAGTACTCCAATGAAATGAGTAAATGAGTAAAATGGCCAAATAATGACCTGGCTCCTTTCCTTACTGACTTGAATCCTATTGAGGTCTTGTGGGCCTTTCTAAAACGTTAGATTAACTGTCAGGGAAGACAAAACAGCATTTGGGAAGTTGTAGTTGCTGCTTCAGGGAAAGTTGATAGATCAAGAAACTGACAGACTCTATGGATGGAAGGCTCATGGCAATCATTGAAAAGAAGGGTGGCTATATTGGTTACTAAATATTTTTGAATGGCCAAAAACTTTATTCAATTGTCATTTTTTTGTTGTTATACGTACTCTAAATATTGAGAATAAAAAAGTAATTGGATAGAAATGATTTTGGTAATTTAATTGCCTAATAATTCTGCACACTTATATATTCTCCTGAACAAGACAAAACTCTCATTTCCTTAGATAAACATTCATGTTTGATTTTCAATTACATCTTCAGTTGACTGAGAGCATTGTGTTTGTTCAACAATAAAATGAATCCTGAGGAATACAATTTGCCCAATAATTGTGCATGCAGTGTACATGGACAGAGGAGGATCCACAACGGCATGTGCAAGTCTTTTATTCTTCTGACCACTGAGGTGTACTTGTTAGTTAACAAGTAGGGTCAAGTTCATAATGGTCTGTAATACATTTTTTCCCATGTAGATTTAAATGAGTGTGACAGCAACCCATGCAGTCAAGAGTGTGCCAACGTGTATGGTTCCTACCAGTGTTACTGTCGCCGTGGCTACCAGCTCAATGACATAGATGGCATGACTTGTGAAGGTAAAATGTAACCATTTTAATAGGTGCTTGGAGGAATACATGATAATTTTGAAAAATATTTCACCTTATTCAGTAAGTTCCGTGTGCAGTCTGCTGAAGCAAACTGCATTATATATGAATCAGATGCAAATTTAGTTATCAATCATCATAAGCTAGAGCTTTATAAGATATACATATTTCAATGTTTCACTTGTTTCCATCTGTCTCTGTCACATTTGTAGATATAGATGAGTGTGCCCTGCCCACTGGAGGTCATATTTGCCTATCGCTGTCACAACACCCCTGGCAGCTTCTACTGTTCCTGTCCCGTCAGTGGCTACACCTTGGCACCCAATGGGCGCAGCTGTCAAGGTAAGCTGTCCTTACTGTAATGTTACACGTGATGAGTTGCAGGCTTATGTTAATTTTGATACAAGTTATTTTTGAGAATGTTTTGAAATCACGTTTTTCCACTTTTTGTCTTTGCGCTCCCAGATATTGATGAATGCGTGACGGGAACACACACATGCACAGAGAATCAGAGCTGCTTTAATGTACAGGGAGGATTCAGATGCCTGTCCTTTGAGTGTCCAAACAACTACCGGCGCGTTGGAGAGACGTGAGTTTCTTCATTGGGTCTCACACTGCTGCTGAACAGAATCACATTCATTAACAGAAAACAACTTTAAATGTGTCGTCTGTTCCCACAGCAATATGATAATTACTAGACAAACATTAATAATACAACCCTGGACAGAAAACCTCAACACTCACAGAGCATCCACATTCCTCACAGTCAAGAATGGTCATATTTTAGTACAACAGTAAACTATGTCAGGTCTTTTAAACCAATCCTTATTCATATGTATGGTTCAGGCTCTGCATGTCCAGTATGCTCAATGCTGGAATGACTTCAGAAAAGATTTGGCTGTAGCATGGTCTGTTGTTTTAGAATGATCAAATGCGTATGGATATTTTCTCATTAGCTCAATTACAGGGTAGGCTGTGTATGACCACCCTGTGACAGAACTTCTTGCATGATCCTACAGAGGGCACCATGACTGGCCTGTAAAGTATATGCAGCAGACTGATGTTCCTTTCACTGCATGCCATGCACGGCAAATTAAATTTACACCTGGTCTCTCTTTCTTTTCTCTCTGTGCCTGTTGTGTTTTGTCTTGTCCCGTCCTGCCCTGCCCCTGCCCCCCACTGTTCTCTCTTTGCAGTCGATGTGAACGCTTGCTTTGCAATGAGTCTGTCGAGTGCCTGGCCATGCCCCTGAGAATAACCTTCTACTACCTCACCTTCCCCACCAACATCCCCATCTTCACCAACATCTTCCGCATGGGCCCCACCCACACCGTGGTCGGAGATGACATCCAGATTGCTATCACCACTGGCAACGAGGGTGGTTTCTTCCAGACGGAGCGTGTGCCCACCGGCGGGGTGATGTCAGTGGCAAAGCTCATCAACAAGCCACAGGACTTTGAGCTGTCTCTGGAGCTGAGGCTGCGTCGCTATGGCACGCTCAGCATATACATGGCTAAAGTTTTGGTGTTTGTTACCAGGAGGAGCCCAGAGTACCTTACAATCCCCTACTAGAATAAACACAAGAGTTATGTAGGGTTACACAAGTTACTACACAATGAAAGGATGTTTCATTTTAAATGCATTGTCTCATTGAGAAGACGGAAAAAGTTGATCCTCACAACGCAAAATGCATGCAAGATGCGCATATAGTATGTTCATAGCAAAGCATGGTGAAGACTACTATATGTTGTAAATTATAAATGATTACAGATCATACTACATAGATTAGGTACATATAAATGGAATAAATTGATATTATAAAAACAAAATTTTTCTCTATAAACAAAAATCATTAATGTTTTTTCATTCATGGAATGATGCATTCGAAATGTCGGTAAACTGTATTGGCTAATGGGCTGATTATCCAGGTTGGGCCCCAACCATTGTGGGACCCCTGTTCATGATTCTGTCTTCTTTAAAGAAACAAATTTATTTCATAATATGGATTTTAAAAAAGCCCATTTCAGTTGATATCTTTATTGAGTGCTGTGTATTCTTAAAGTAAAACTTTGATATTTTGGGAAATAGATGAGGAGCTTCACACCACTCTAGTATATAAGTAGAAGTATGAAGCTACCCCCAGCAACTGATTAACTTAGCTTTGCATAAAGACTGGAAACAGAGGGAAACAGCAAGCCTGGCTCTGTCCAAAGATAACAAGATCAGTCAACATAGCACCTCTATATTTCTCTGATTAACATTTTGTATCTTGTTTGTTTTATCTGTACAAAAAAAGTGTTAAAACAGCAAGCTTGGGGTTATGTTCCGCACTATTCATTGGCCAGGTGTAGTGATGACAAGACCCCAGGAGGTGTCTTTGGGATGGTATCAATCCACTCATCTAAATCTCAGCAAGAAATTTTAAACTATCCCTTTAAAAAGTTTTTCAATTGATCCAACTATGACAAACAGTGAGTCTGGGGCTTTGAGGGTCACTGGTGGTCCAGGACCATGGTGCAGCTGCCCTCTTTATCCTATCGATTATCCAGCCACGTCTCTACTACATCACTTTCTTTTGTGATAAATTAACAAAATGACTTTGTGTGACACTAAATGCCCGTTTAAGATGACACATGCTTTTTTAAGAGTAGATATAAAAAAATACAAAATCAGAAGAAAGTACCACAGTTCTAGTAGCACTTTGAATAATCAAATTTTAATACTAGAATTAAGGATCATTATTCAGCTTTATAAATTAGGTCCAGTTAAATGTATCTTCTTGGAGGTAAGTCATTGTGATAGCCTCTAGGTGGCGTTCTAGGTCAGTGTAAAACATAAAATAGTAGCATAGCAAGTCTGCCTACAACTGAGTGTAATTTGATAATGGTTGCATGATAAAGTCTGACATTTTACAGTATTTTATGGTTTATGTGTTGGATGAACAGTTTTCTATTAAAATTGAAATAGAAATAACACATGTTCAAGTCAAATCCAGTTCTTGATAATGGTTCATTGTGGGGTTTAATCAAATACAGCAAAGGGAGCAGCTGGAATGTGAGGCCAAATCACAGATGAAGGCATGAAGACTTCTTCACATAGTTTCATATTACTATTATTCTGACAGCTTCGGTAAAGAGGAAATCCAATGATACAATCAAATCTCTTCTAAGGCATAGAGTTTATTAAAAGTTAGAGGTACATTCTGTGATCTGACTGAAAAAAGGGTACATGAGGTCTTTACACATACTAGAAGACAACTGCTTTTATTAATAATGTTATTAGTTACGATTAGTTATGATTTTAACGTTTTCCTGCATCAGTAATGTTTGTAAACACAGACACAAACCAGGCTTATTTTTAATCGGCTAAGAAACCCAGTCAAATTTCCCATCTGTAAGTCAAATCCTTCAGTTATATACTACATGTGCATTACCTCAAATTTCACTATTATCCCATAAAGAAATTCCACACCTCCAAATTTCAGTCAAAAATGAGCTGGAGTAGGCTGCATTGTTTGACTGCATTGTTACTTCCACTTCCCAAACATCAGTTACCTTGCACCGCAAATATATCTTTCTGTGGCAGTAATTTTCATGCACATCTCTTCAGCTCCCATTACATTTTAGGCTTAATGTAAAATGCACAGATTTCCACATACTGCGGGTGTAAACCCCAGAGCAGACAGATAATCCAAATGAAGGCTGAGTAAGTGACACGCGATGGGATGCAGTGGCAAAGGAGAGGGAAATGTGCACCAGCAGGAGAGAGTATAAATAGTTTGACATGCTGCGAGGCTGCTGCCCGAGGGCTGTGGCTTATAATAACTGTAAATTCAGATGTCCTAGGTTCCTCCTGTCCTGAGCTGTCAGGCCAGCAAGGATGCACTTGGTCCCCAGTGGGGATATCCTTAAAATAAGAATATAGTGGCGCGCAGAAGGTTTTTTCCTCCCCTTTGACATTGAGTTATGGGGCTCTGGGCTCTGGCCGGTGGTCTGAACAATTTGTGGTACAGCAACATCACCGCGCACAGAATGAATGATGCCCTGCAGTGTTTGTGTTGGGGCGTTATCAATGTGCCGACTATAAATAATAATTACCAAAAAAATAAAAGGCCCTACGCTTGACCAGAAGACTTTCATCCAAAAAGTCTGTTTTTCTTTCTGGTCTGAAAGTATTAGGGTTTTTCTCCTGGGCTGGGCCACGTGAGGCATGGAGAGATGAAGAAGACGTGCTTTTATGCGCACATGCACACACATATACACAAGCATGTTTGCATGCAGACTGGTACACATGCACAAATGGACCTATACACACACAAACAGGCATTTTGGGTTTGGACATACACATGCATTAACACACATGGAGTTGTAATTAGCTCCACTTGCTGCCCCTGCTTCATTATCTTCTCGTAAATTTACTCTCTACCCCAACAGAGCTTTCACCTCTTCCTCCTGAGCCCCGCTCGGATCTTTGTGCAGCTCAGGCCATGGTATTATAACTAGGAGAACATTTTGTGGGTTTGGCCTGGGCCAAAGCAAAACTTGGACCCACCCGCTAATTGCTAATTACAGGCCCCTACCCAGTGGTGGCTTGACTTTTTGTCAGGGGCTTCTCTCCTCGCTCTCTATGGAAGGAGCCCTGCAACCCAAGCTGGGACTGGGCTTTGAGCAGCAGCCTATAGGTCTCCTGGGGAGTACCAGAGATCCACGGCCCATGACTCACAATGTGGCTATATGGCTGCCATGCACATTAACTGGACTTATACATGGCAACATGACTGTTTTCATAACCCAGTATAACCGTCTCCTTTGTGAAGACCAAGTTTAAATTTAACATCTTAGATGTCAAAATCAAGGCTTTTATTTTGTTGCAATAGCTCTCTCATGATCACACATTCCTCATTGTTTCAAAGACAGCCCCTTGATTTATGAGGTTGTTAATGCCTTAGAAACCTCTCTCAAAGTCTTACGAAGCAGACAGGTTGTGAATAGCGATACTTCAGGTGGCGTTAGCTTTAGGAGCCCGTGGAGGCCCTCCATTCCCTCTGACCTGTCACTTATTAGTCTGTGGAATAAACAAAGCCCTAAATAATAGGATGAGAGCTGCCCAGGGGAGAGGCTGGGGAGTTGTCTAGTCATGTTGCTCACAATTTAGGAGTCTTTTAGAACACTCCCTTGCCCCATAAATCCTCCTCAAGAGATTATCTGATGTGAAGCCGGGGATGCTCAGCAAATCCAAATATTTTCCTGAGCAGGTTGTGGATCATTCTCTGTGAGTGTAGTAATTCATTTCCCACACAGCTTGAAATAGTGCATCAGAAAAGCATCAATGGCAGCTCTAGTCTCCACAAGCTACAAAGTTTGGCTTCAGCATGAGCTTTGGCCATTGTTGGTTTATTATGCTTCCAAACCACATAGAATTTGATTGTTTTTGATGTTGACTGCTATATCCAGTATCCCTGCTGTCTTGTTCAGATATTGTTTGTGTAGTGGCCATTGGAGTTGTCCCACTGAGTTCTTGATTACGCAGTGGGTTGCTCCCAAGGATGCCCTGTTATTGTGAGCTTTAAAACCAAAGGCGGCTAACTCTGAAGTCTTTATATAGACATTACCTAAAGGTCACAGGCCATGTGTGTGTTTGTTTTCTTTTTTTGTGGGTGTGTATGTTTGTTCTCTCCTTTAGAGTGCCGAGGCTTAAACTCTCTGACACCATTCGCTGTATAAAGACATGTCAACCCAATGATGTTGCCTGTGTCCGGGACCCCACACACTCAGTGTCCCACACATTCATCTCCTTGCCCACCTTCAGAGAGTTCACAAAGCCAGAGGGTAAGTATAAGTCTTTTTCTGTGAATAATGATGACAAAAATTCTGGAATAAACCAGATGGGCAAGCATGTAGCAATAGCATGAAGAAGGGGGGCATAATGCACTCATGTTTCTATAAAATAAAGTTCCCTGGGGGATAAACAAGTCTTAAAAGAATAATCATCATTTTGGGAAAGACGCTCATATCTGCTAAGATCGACAGAGGTGAGAGCCAGGCTTGCTGTTTCTCCCTGTTTCCAGTCGTAATGCTAAGTTAAGATAACCAACTGCAGGCTGTTGTCATCCAACTATTGGCAAGAAGGAAAATGTCAAACTATTGCTTTAACACTGTGATTAAAAAATGACTGATTGTCTAAGCCCCTAAAAAATGTATTCTACATATCCTTCTACTCTATATTTTCACTAATCCACAAAGGCCCATGTATGAGCTTCATTTATGACAGAACGTTGTGTTAAATCTTTGGAAACAACAAATTTGAGGACAGCATGATAACTTGTGTTTTTTAGTGTCAGCATGGTCCTCTGCTTTTTTCTCTCCTCTAGCTCTACTTTATCTCCCTAAATCTCTGAGCTCCCATCAAATGCATTTCCCTGCAGTTGTCACAATCCATATGACTACCTCTGACCTCTAAATTAGCTATTCCATGATGCTCTCCATGCCGTCCAGGCTTGGCTAGCCCACACTAGAGAGTAAGTGCCATGCTGGTTGGATATGAGTAACCACGGTAATCACTTGCAGACAGTGACAGCTGACAAGCATCTATTGGCCGGCATGCAGTGCATATTTCAGACACACTCATGCTCAACGTCACGGGGAGTTAAGCTCTTGTCATTTCTCATAAGCTCTGAGTTGGGGTGTAAAGGACTCGAGGCCCTTCAGATGAACAACAGTACTGAAAAGCTTCAACCTTCCTGTGACCCTCTCCGTGTACATAAACACAGACCTTTCAATCTACCATTTTATTGTCTTTCTCTTGGAAACAAGAAAAGAAACGAAGAGCAAAAGTTGGTACAGGCTTGGCGGTGCAATCCCAGTGTCATTATGAGGATTTAGGCTCCAAAAGCTTTTTGTGTCTAATTGTTATCTCCCAACAGAGATTGTTTTCCTGAGAACCACGGTGCCAGCTTACGGGTCCTATCACTTAGGCAGTTACGACGTAAAATTTGACATCCTGGAGGGCAACGTGGAGAACGCATTCGACAT